GAAGACCTCTTATTCCAATCACTGAGGCAGATCATTGAGTTGCATTACTTTAGATTGATTGGTACTAAACGTGATTTAGTCCTTAAAATAGCTTTAGCTTACTGCTGATAGTATTGCTATACTGATTTTTGTGGGCTCTCTTATTCATCTCACTTAAGCAATCTACTATGCCGGTTCATATTCTGTTTTTTATTCTTGGCTCTAAATCTTATTTACTGAAGCTGTAACTTATGTATTATTGATCTTCAACCGATTCTTTCCATGTTGATTATAGGGCAAAAATTTTATTTGTCTAAGGTACATCGCACTTTTATGGTCTTATGGGAAATAACAAAGACTCTGCCTACAATATGTACCAACGATCTTGCGTAGAACCTATACATTTTAATAATAAGCAAATTCACGATAGTGCCAATCAAAGAAGAGTTCTTTACGACGTAAGGATAATTTCTTGTCTTCTTGTCCAACAAATATCAGACGAATATCTGCTTGGACGTCTCACCATATAATACTATAACTTAAGATCAACGCTTATTTCAATACCACCTTGATAATCTTGAAAAGCATGAGAAATGCCTAACTTTTTCTTTTTCTTTTTAGAAAGCCAGCTGGTATCGAAACAGAGACAAAAAGCAAATCAGCGTTGGTGGCTCATTAAATCAGCCTTTGCGAGAGGGTCCGCATGGCGTTAATAAATACGCGGTTCGTTTTCTTCCTGGCAGGCCCAAGTACGCACCAAGCATGCATGGCGTAGACACCTCCCTCTTGAAAACTTACCAATTGATCATATTCTTCATAGACAAATTGGATGACACTGAATTCCGTTGTGTAATTGAGATTCGTAAGTCAAAGCAAGCATTTTGGTATGAAAAAATGTTTCTGTGCCTTTACACTTTAAAGGAGAGGATATCTGGTACATCCCGTCTACTTAAATTGGTCACTTTATTAGTAAAAAACGGTCATTTTTATCATAGATTTACCTCTCCACTCTCTTCTTCTCATCACTCTTTTGGAGTTTAGCTACATATCCACGCGAAAAGTGGCCTTCCGCAGTTGGGCGTATTCTGGTGAAGTGGAAACCAGAAATTCTACCTCAGCTGACATCGCTGATAGTGAACGAGGGTGAGGCCCTCCGCTTGAACTGTTCTGCGCAAGGCTCACCGTATCCGAACATAAGCTGGACCAGAGCAAATGGAAAGCCCTTGGATCTAGTCGGCTCGCCCCAGCGAATTTACGTAAGTTGTATCTGTATCTGTGACTTCTACGCCTTCAAAATATGAACATTTCTTTCGAAGATATACTTCAATTTAGGCTAACAAACTTGTGTTTATGCAATAACTTTAACTCTCAGCCTCTCACAGTACTGCATGTGCCTTTGATCAGACTTGCGGAAACATTCTTTCTTTCTGCTTATTCTAGGAATTGGCAATAGAAGAGGAGGATTTGTCGATACTTATCGTTTTGTTTTCTAGCCTGTTTGTTGTTGAGGCCTGCCATTTTTTATTTGTATTTGTATTCGGCTGAAAGTTGTTTTATACACGACAAATTAAATCAAAGGCATGCTTTTTTTATAGAATTTTATTTCATCATGTATCATATGGGGCTTTTTTTATCCGGTCTGGACTAATGCTTCGGTCTCATTTAGCTCTTATCTAGGCAGGATATTTTGCCGTTGAATGTAGTTTACTTCTACAATATTTAAAGCTCATAACAGGCTCGAAACGAAACCATTACTTGAAAGTCATGCTTACTGTACGCCACAATGTTAATAGAATGAT